AGCAAACCGAGCGTGAAAAGTTGACCCCAGATTCAAGGACAAGGTCAAATGAAGACTACCTCTTGGAGCCAACAAAGCAACAAGTTGGTTTTAGTCCACAAGGCTATGACTCCCTGGATGATCTAATGACTGCAATGAAACGGGTATGATTACCTTCTCTAATCTTGAAATGCCCGAATATTTTTTTTTCCAGCATAAACAACATTACATAGAAAACACTAGTTCAATGTAAGATAATTTATTTGAACGAGATAAACCTGACTCCTACGTCAATAGTTAAATGTATAGCTGGATTTTGCATCCAACTTATGAAAACAAATCTGCAGAGGGGGTGATGACATATGTTTGCTTCACCAACAATAGCAACCAATACCACAAAAAGCGGGGCTGAATCAAATGGCTATGTTGGTTATCTCTTCCTATAGCTTCTCGGGATAAAACACTGTTTCCCCTTTGGGATTCATCTGGCACTATATCTGATGTCAATAAGGTGCATACTTATATTGACCTGTACACCTATATGAAGCTATAGTCAATGTCTATTGTGTTCTTCTACTTCCGAGTTCATTGTTCATTTCATCTCTTTTCAAATTGAATCACTCTATTAATCAAAAACAGTAGACTTCTCAACTATTTTTGCTCTTGCTAGTGCCCCAGAAATTCTTGAATTTCTTGCAATATGAGATTGAATGCCATGACTCTTATTTGTAAACCATCAAATCCTAGTTTCCAAGATACCACATCAGTCCAATCACCACTACTTAGGTTATCAGCGTCGCTAAGCTTCACGAATCCACCAATGATAGCTTCTCGGGATTAAACATTGTTTCCCCTTGAGGTTCATCTTGCACTAAATCTGATGTCAGTAAGCTGCATACTTTATCGACTAGAATAACTATATGAAAATACAGTCCATGTCCTTTTTATTGTGTTTCTTCTACTTCTGAGTTCAATGTTCATTTCATCGTCTTTTTAGTTTAATAACTATATTATTTCAATAATAGTGGACCTTTTAACTATTTTTGCCCTTGCTCATGCTAGTGCCCCCAAAAATTCTTGAATTTCTTGCAATATGAGATTGAATGTCATAATTCTTATTTGTACATCATCACTTCAAATCCAGTTTTCGAGATAATGCATCGTCCTATCACCACTTATCTTAGGTTATCAGGGGGCACTAAGCATCAGAATTGAAAATTTTCTTATTTTTGTCAGCGGATTTCACTCATCAGGTTCTTGTTTGATCTACCACCGTTAAGTTTCTGCACTTTGTTCCCTTGATTATGACAAGATTGCAAAGATCCTTGCTTTTATTTCGTCACAAACATAATCAAGAAAAAGAGAAGGAAAATTTTGAAACTTTTGTGCTCTTCATACTGCATTATAAAAGTAAACGAATGCTGGTGCATTATAAAGGATTTTTGCCAGTTATTGAATGCCACAACTCTTCACCACTAGTCTTAGGCATCAAAATTCAAAAAGTTCTCTTTCTTATTTTTGCCTGCAGATTTTGCTCGTTACGTTTGTTTCTCATTACATACATACATTACCAAGAAAGCAAAAGGGAATGAATGCTTTTTGAAATTTTTGTGCTCTTCAGACTGCATTTTAAAGGATTTTTCCTTGTGCAATGCAGGAGCAAGATGGAGGCATGTTAGATGAAGGAACAATATGGATTTAACTATGAAGTTTTCTATAGCTGTCAGTCAGCAAGAAGAGGATCTAGCTAGGTTGCAGCATTACTAATTTTCTTCCTTTTAGGAGTTATAGTGTCAATATGTAGTACTACTCCGCAGGCCTTCTGTTTGCTTATTTTCTTCTGGAAATGATGTTATTGACAGTACCATTTCTAATGTAAATTGCTTGCTGCTTCTTAGCTCGTTGTCCTTCGCCATGACTTCTCCAACATCAAAGCTTTTTTTCTTTCTTTTCATGGCATTCTGCAGATTAATTTCGTGCTGTGATAAAGTTCAGATTACTTAATGTGGTGATAAATCTAATTATATCTTGGAAAAAAGTTAATCTTTCAAAGCTATGTTGCTCGGACTCTTTGAAAATGTTCTGATCCTTCAGAAGTAGTGTATGTGTGGAGGATACGACATGATTGTGGCAATATTTCTGAAGAGTTTGAGCAAATTAGGTTCCAAGTTTATATTTCTATGTTATTTTTTTAATGTTTTTGTACACTCTCAAGAAAGAGTTAATTGCCTTTGATTATAAGAATATTTGTCTTAAACTATCTTCTATGACTTCTTAAATAGTTCACTTAATTGACACTCTACTAGTTGAAACAATAAGGTGTTTATTTAGAAGAAATAATAAATAATATTATATATATATATATATATATATATTATCACAAGATTCTTGGCTCAAGAATAATGAATCATTTTGAATAGTAACTATAACAAAATTATACGATTATTAATGTACAAGAAACATAATATAATAATAGAAAACGAAGGCTATAATTACTAGCTAGCATGGGAAGGTAATAAAAGCAAATTTTTATGACTAAATAAATAGTCTTTTAGTTTAAGCAACTCACTTAATCATAAACCTTTTACCAATTGATTCTAAGTAAAAAAAATTATTATATGAATGAAGTAAGTGAAATATTACTGCAAGTTGTCAAACTCAAAGATTTATAGTTGTTGTGTTTTTAAGTCGATTTAACCGATTGACATGTGAAGGATAAATATTTATTCATGTGTTTATATTAAATTGTATAAATTTATCATAATTAAATATTTAATAAAATGAGAATGTATGTTACTATCGAGTGTGAATAATTTTTTGTCATGTGACGGTAGGTAGTCCACAAATCATAGCATAATGAATATCCAATTTATAGAAGAAAACAACATTGCCCAAATTCCTAACTTGACTTGTTCCTAAAGATTAACTAGTCAATTTATTAGCCATTTTGTCCAATAAATAAAGATAGTGCATCCACCAATAAATAATCCAAAGACCAATTAGTCAATGTGTACTTATTATATTAGACATTTTCCCAATCAAAACAGTGCATCCACAAAAAATCAAAAGGGAAAAAAATACTAGACAATCTTCTTAGTAACATCAAAGAATCAACCACTTTATACCAAGTTTTTTTAGTGAATATAGTTGATTATAGGGGTCAAATAGAGTTGAGTAAGTAAAAGGGTGAGTTAATTATTAATCCACCTAAAAGTTATTTAAACTGAAATAAATTAAAAATGGATCAAAATTTAATCCGTTCAAGTATTATTAAGTTTTAATTTCTTTATTTATTTGTTTATAATTTTTAGTGCCTAGTAAAATTATAATTTTCTTCATTATAGTTGTATATAACATATTAAATAAAAAATTGTATTTTTCTAAAATGTTTTGACAAAAAATTTCATGAAGTAATTTTTTTAAAAAAAAATTATTAAGTAATTTGGATTAGATATCATCTCAATTTTGATGTACTGAAAGGGGTTAAACTAATGTATACGCAGGGTAATCGTCAATCCAAATTTGGACGAATCGAGCGGTTATAGTTTCATGAGCTAATTTGCCTCCTCTATGGTTGATATAGGCAAATTCAAAATTTTAAGTCTATGAGTTGTTATACACATTTTAATTAATATACCATAATAATTCAATTTATAATTGAATATTTATGAGTATTCTTTATATTCTTAATTTAAATACATTATAGGAATAAAAACTATTGCATTCATGTGAACACATACCTTATTGACTAAATCCGTCCCTGCTAGCAGAAGAAAAATCAGAGATACTCAGCTGTCCTACACAATTTATTAAAATTAAAAAATTCAATTAAAATAAATGAAGTATCAAGGAAGATTTTAAATAAGAAAACTTGACTATAATACAAAAAAAAACAAACAAAGGCTTTTTAGATATTTTAGCGTGATAGGAATGGTTTTTGATATGAAAAATTTAGATAACTTTATAATTTTCTACACAAATCTATTTAAAATATCCAATACTTTAGAGAATCTAGATAATTTTTTAAAGTAAATATCCCAAAAAATATATTTTTATCTCATACCAAATTCCTTAATTAATAACATTTTTTATAACAACATAAATATTATGATATATTTAAGATCATAAATTTATAAAATTTTATAATCATATAACAGATATAACATGTTTAATAAATATTGCATTTATAAAAAGAAAAAAACAATAGCAAAATTTCTAACATGACTTATTCCTGAAGACTAGCCAGTCAAACCTTGTATTTATTAATTATTTTCCATTTCCCCAATCAAATACAATGCATCAATCAAATCAAAAGAAAAGAAAAATATGAGACCATCTTCCTAGAAACATCAAGAGTCAACCACAATAAATTAAATTAAATAGATCTGTGACCTAAAATAAAAAAATACCACTTCATACTAGAGGATACTGTAGATTAGCGTCTATTCAAAATTTTATTTAAAATCTATAAATTTTTATATTAATAAATAATAATGATATAATTTATAGCTAAACGTATATAACATTTTATGAATTTTCTTAATATAAATGATAAATGTTATTCTATAATATAAGGTTACAAGTTTTGAAACAATATTATTACTTTTAAAATCACATATTTCAAAAATATTTTATCTTTAAGTTTTTAACTTTATATCGAAACAGATAAGTTCGCATATATTGAAATATTCATATCAATAGTCTATAAGCTTTTCTAAAATATTAATGATTCTTTTAGAAACTAAAAAAAATAATCTCAACTTTTTCCACGCTCAACTCAATTTTGTTTATTTGTGAATTGAGATCGGATTAAATTTGAATTTGCAAATTATAGGGCTCAATTCTAGAGAAGGTGTTCTCAATACAACGTTCTTTTCTCCATTCTCAATGACTCAAATCCGATACTTCTATTTAAGGGCAAAAAAATTCTAGTCATCGCACCACAACTCATATTGCACAGTTAACTCAAATCATGAAACTATATAATATGAAACTCACCCAAAATCATACTTGTTTCAGCCATGGCCTTTTCCTACACTAATATTTTCTTATTTTTCTTCCTCCACCAACTAATCATTTTCTCTAATGGCCAAAATATTACAATTAAGGGAGGTTACTGGCTATGGGACAGTGGATTAATAGCCTTAAACAAAATTGATTTAACTCCTTTCTCTCATTTATTTTGTGGATTTGCTGATATTAATTCCCAATCCAATCAATTAATTCTCACTTCACCAAATTCATTCATACAATTTACAAGCATAGTCCAACAAAAAAATCCTTCTGCAAAATTTTTATTGTCAATAGGTGGAGGAGGTGCAAATAAAACAACATATGGAATTATGGCTACAACACCAAATTCAAGAAAAAGTTTTATTGATTCATCAATAAAATTAGCTAGACAATTGGGATTTCATGGTCTTGATCTTAGTTGGATATTTCCAGAATCAGCTTCAGACATGATGAATTTAGGTACTGTATGATCATCTCATCTAAGAGCTAGTTTTATCAAACAGAGATAACAATTTGAATATTCTTTCCCTTTTCATATACATGATTGACGAAATTTGAATCTAGAGTATGCTTTGCTCTGATATCATTTTGAATTGTGGAACCCTAATTCATATTTTAAAACATCAATATTTAGAGAGTTCCTATTGGTTTAAATTTATTGTGATTTAGATTTACTTTTCATTAATAGTTGAAGTCATTTATAAAATGAGTTAGATTTATTTTTACCAACTAAGATAAAGACTTTAAAACACATAGGCCTTTTATAAGAAAAAAAAGAGAGGGTGAAATACACAAAATAATTTGAATTTGTCCCTAGACAGCTTTGCAAAATGGTCAAATTTCATAATGACGAATTTAAAAGCTTTTGTCGTTAGTCAATAAGATGAGTAAATAATTAATAGCCTTGTAATAAGAGAATTTAATGTAAAAGTTAGACGAAGATAATCTTTTATTTACTTATATAATTATATATTATGAAGGCATCCTTTTGAATGAGTGGCGCATTGCTATCAACACGGAGGCAAGAAACTCCAGCAAAGTGGATTTACTTTTCACGGCAGCCGTTTCCGGTTCGCCCCGAGTCAATGGTTCAATTTACCCGGTTCAATCACTAGCAAAAAATTTAGACTGGATCAACCTAATAGCATACGACTTCTACGGACCAAATTGGTCGCCATCACAAACAAATTCACATGCACAATTATTCGACCCGGTGAACTATGTGAGTGGTAGTGACGGAATCGACCAATGGATTCAACAAGGCGTTCCACCACAAAAAATTGTTTTTGGTATTCCTTTTTATGGATATGCATGGAGATTGAATAATACAAATATTCATGGTCTCAGGGCACCGGCTATCGGAAAATCGGATGTCTACGATGATCCGTGGATGACATATGCCCAAATTAGGGATTTTATAGTGCAACATCGCGCCACGACCATACATGATGATAGAATTATTGGAGATTATTGTTACTCGGAAAATACTTGGATTAGTTACGATGATATTCAAACTGTTAGGACTAAAGTGTCTTATATTAAAAGCAGAGGGCTGCTTGGTTATTATGCAATGGATATTTCAGGAGACACTAATTGGAATTCTCTTCTTTCTCATGCTGCTTCACAAGGTATAAACTAACTCCATTCATTTTGTTATTCAAAAGGATTTATATCTTTTCATATTTAAAAAAAAAAGAAGGTATGTAAGCATTTCAACTCCTTTCAGTTTGATCATCTCATAAACTTGATATGTCACCTTACTGTCACGTGTTCACGACACAAAAAAGACAAATTGAGGTGCTGATCTAGACATACAGTATTTACTTGTCAGTTGATATCAAATTTAAAATGTCGATCTATTATAAATTTATGGATGCATGGCTAAACTATTTGTTTTTTTGTTTTTTTTTTTTAAAATTTAGAAGCTGATGGAGTGACACAAGGAGAAATTGTGAAGAAGAAGAAAAAACTAAATCGACTAGTTATCATTTTGATTCCCATTGGTGCACTACTAATATTGATATTGCTAATGTTTATAATTTGGTATCTTCGAAGGAGACAAGTACCTAAGTTTCAAGGTAATTACTCTTTCCAATTAATTTTACGTGAAGATATTACTATTGAAAATATATTTTTTTCGCCTTAAATTCTAAGGTAATTACGCTTTTCGTCTCATTTTACATGAAGATGTTACCATTTGAAAAATCAAACAATATTTTTTCTTTTTCACTATAACTTGATAAAAAATATGTCGAATGATTAGTTGTTGACTTGTAGTATTAGTTGTCGAATTATTAGTTATTGACTAAATTATGGGGTTTTATTCCTTTTTATATTAGAGTTAGAGAGGAACAAAATGGGAAGCAATAATAAAGCAAGAAAAAGTGGAGATAATAGCAATTTGCAAGTTTTTAGTTTTGATGAGATGAAGGAAGCTACAAATAATTTTTCATTCGACAATAAGCTTGGAGAAGGGGGATATGGACCTGTTTTCGAGGTAAATTCTATCGATATTTGTATTAAATTAATAAATATAAATATTTTACTTTTATATATATTTATTATTATTATTATTTTTAGTTTTGTATAATTAGAAATTATTGGAGCAAAATATTTTTCGAGTCTTGAATAGGAAGAAAATGTGAAACAGAATCATTATGTGGTCACTGTAAAAAATTTCTAATTTGAATTAACATCCTTTTAGCAAAAAATGGTACTAATATTGCTAATTATAAAATTTTCCCTTTATATATATAGCACCTGTTGGGTTAAATAATTCTTTAATGGTCTGGTTAATCATTGTTATTTTTTAATTTAAAACAAATATCTTCAATGATTTTTGGATGGCTTGTGGTATATTTTTAAATTCGAATCAGAAATTTGTGCCAGACTACAAATATATGCATGACATATTTAAAGTAAATTCTAAAAAAAAGAAGAAGGAAATTTCGCAAATAGCCACTAAAACAAACTTAATTAGGCTCTATAAGTATAGTTTGTTAATTAACTAATAAATATTTGCTTATCCGCATAATTTCTCTAAAAAAATATAGGTGGTTGAGAATTCAAAGTGGAAAAATAATTTTAAAGTTAAAATAATGATGGGACAGGTCTTCAAGATGATGAATTTACTAATAGGAGTTGTTAATTAGTAATTAAAGCTATAAATAATCTTTTTTGGGATGCACATGGAAGAAAATGGTGTCATATAAATTCGATGATAATATTCACCGTATTTATGTTGTATGATAGATATTGAGTGTACCTCTCTAAGTAAAATTAGGAATTCAAATTTTATGTCTATTTATTTACCTTTTTAAAAAAAAAAAAATTGTTAACACGACCTCTCTAACTAGTTATTGGTGTTTTCTTTCTTTTCTAAAACTAGGTATACCTAAGTGGTTATTTAGTGTTATGTCTTGTATCTTATTTAGTACTTTTTTCTTTTTCTTTTTTTGTTCTGGTTTATTCTTTTAAAATTTCAATTGATCCCAACATCTTTGATACAAAATATAACTATAGATGTTAAACAATAATTTTTAAAAAGGACATAATATGTTAAAGTGAGAATTTGAAGATTAAACTGTTTAAATTTTTATTTGAGTTCACTTCTGATCTTTATAATAATACATCAATCGTCTCGAAATTCTGAATACGCTTCTTATAAATCTAAATAGGGAATGTTGAGGAATGGGGAAAAAATAGCAGTGAAAAGGTTATCAGAGACTTCATCTCAAGGATTGGAAGAATTTGAAAATGAAGTGATTCTTACTGCAAAATTACAACATATAAATCTTGTAAAAGTTGTGGGATTTTGCATTGAAAATCAAGAAAAAATGTTGATCTATGAATATATGCCCAACAAGAGCTTGGACCACTACATTTACAGTAAGTCATTTTTTTTTAATATTTGAGTTTAACTTGCTTATAAATTATAATATACCAATAAAATTTGTGATGAACTGATAAGTACTCATTCATCCTTAACTAAATGTCTCGAGTTCTAATTTTTCCTTAGTACGGAATTGCCTTTGTTACGGAGTGTTTTACCCTTGATATGGCACTTCTGAAAACTAATTTAATTTTAATCGAGCTCCAATACGAATATGGAATAGTGGCCATGACCCCTGCCCCTCCAAAATAAAAAGGGACTTACCTATACTATGAATTTGGATCAATCAAAAGATAATTATAGGTAAACATCCACTATGTTGTTATTCCTATTAAGTACCAGTATATATTCTTTGATGTTTTATTATGTATAGATGTATGTTCCCTTTTTCCCTTAGGTTCATATTATATGGTGTTTTTAGTTTAAATACACCCAATAAGAAATCATATTCACTCACCCCTAGTAATTAAAATTTAAATAGTATGGATTTTGTTATGTAAAAATAAAGGTAAATTTGAAAGAAAAAAAATTAAATAATATTTTATTATGTAAAAAAATATACTTATTTTGAATTAAATGTAAAAGATAAAAATACCATATAATATGGACCAAAAAGAATTATAAAAATATTAAATCTCTTTGCTTTTTCACGTGTTTTTTAAAAAAAAATATCTAATTTGGATTTTTTTAATTGAAATTCTGACTCTGTCACTATCTCTGAAAAAGAAATGTATATATATGTTTTTTGATCAACTTGATTTGTATTTCCACATGCAGATCAAGTGAGAAGATTGGTTCTAAATTGGGAAAAAAGAGTGCAAATAATTGAAGGCATTATTCAAGGGCTATTATACCTACAAGAATATTCAAGATTAACAATTATTCATAGAGATATAAAAGCCAGCAATATTCTATTGGACTTGCAAATGAAACCAAAGATTTCTGATTTTGGAATGGCAAGAATGTTTAAGGAGGATGAAGTTGAAGCAAATACAAGCAGAATAGTTGGAACATTGTAAGTATTATGTATACCTCGTAAACAATTTTTACACTATCAAATTATTTAATATATATGGGTACGTAAAATAAGCTTCGTAAGTGATATTCCATATTAAGTGATCGAATAAAGTGAAAATATATATTAATTGTTTATAATTAAATGATAGAAGTTTGTATGCAAACATTATATATATATATATATATATAT